GAAGCAGTTTTATGAAAAAACAGGTGAAGACTCAGACGGATTATACTTATATACGGATTCTAAATGTAACTCATGTCTGTGATTCTTCAGTGGTGTACAATAATTCATTTAGTTTGGGAGTGGCAGTGATTTGGGGCTGGTGATGGATGGGTAGAAGGAGGTTCTATTGAAAGAGAATAGCGGCCTATTTTTTAAAAAAAAAAAAGGCAAAGTCAAGGTGGAGAAACATCAGAGATGATCAAGAGAAATGGAGGAACCTGAGCTAAACTTCAACTGTAAAGTGTCTGAATACTTATGTCAATGTGAGATTTCACTTTTTAATAAATTTGTCAAAATTTCTAAAATTCTGTTTTCACTAAGGAGCACTGTTTGATGAGGGAAAAAAAGATTTATTTTAGCGTCAGGCCTTTCGCGCTCAGATTTTTTTACAATATATATGGCAAGAATCATTAACAACATGCTAACTGGCTTTCAACATTCCTCTGACTGCAGTTTGTTGTTGTGTTGTGTCTATCATACGATGTTGGTGCTGTCTTACTACATCATGAAAGAAAGATGGTTCATCCCATCTGCTGCCAAGGATTTTTTCAGTGCCTGCTCCTTTTACTCTAAAATAGATATTCACAATAGAAAGACCAACATTACGACTCACTACCTATGTGAACATTTAATATTGTGATAATTTGTCACTCCCATTAGGGAAAATCTATTTTTGCTTGATAATTGACACCATTAGGTTGTAGGTCAATATAGGAACTTGAGTTTAATTCAAGGAAACAAAGTCTTGAGGGTATGAATGAGTTTTATCCCTGGATCTGTCGGGCTAAGGACAGCGCATGTGGTCACACTGCCCTCTGCTGCCCAGTACAGTCCATGTTCATGCTGCTTATATTAGAGCGGAACGACCATCCAGTATTCCACACTTATACAGAACGTTCCACAGAGTCACTATTTATTCAGTAATTAGTGCATTAATGATTAATGAACTGACTGTAGAACATGCCAAGAATGTTGTAGTTTAAAAATAAGTGGATCATGTGCAGGTTTGGAAAGCTTCTCGTTTGATGGCGTGCCATGACATTATATTGATAATACAGTACATTGTTTATCATTGATATAGGGACTAAATGTAACGTCACCAATAATAGACTTTTGATTTTTCAACCATCAGAACTGATTGGGTTGAAAAATGGAGACCAGATATAAACAGGTGATTAACATTTCATAAACACACATTATACAACTTTGGTGCAGGTGGAAGGCAACAAAATAATCAAAACATAGTCTTAGTCAAAAAGTTGTTTTTATTTTTTAAAATTGTTGGACATTGCATGCGAAAAGAAACTTCCAACTTTATTCTTTAAGGGTCTAAATTATATTGCAAAAAATTATTAGATAATACAGCTTTGGGCAAATCTATTCTCACAACAGAAATAAGCACGAAAATCAACAACTTGAGTGGACAGTCTTCAGACGTGAGGGCTCATCCACTCGAAGCCACTTCAAAAGGGTAGTGCTGGGGGAAGTCATGGACAACCTTCAGGGCTTCATTATAGAGCTCTAAATCTGTGGGACAGATGGACACTCATCAGTGCTGCTGTGTTACAAACACCTCATCTGTTCATGAAATGACACCTACCAAAAAGGATGCCCTTGTCCTCTCGTAGCATGTGGTATGTTGTGGCCATTATTCCTCCTTTGTTGGACACCATACCAATCACCTCCACCACGCCGCTCAGCTCCTCTTCAAGCTGGAGAGATAAATGTACTTAAACATGTTTAAATTGTTGACTGAAAACAGGTTTAGCCTTTTATTCTAGAGCTGTGCAGATGACACCAACACACACTATTCAAACACATGCATGCAGCAAAGGGTCATGGGTCAGACTCAAATCCGTGCCACTGCCTTAACGGTACATGCTCTACTAGGTGAGCCACCAAGGTGCCCCAGTTTTATTTTCCATATAAAAAGAAATCAGCAAAAGGAAATTTGAATTCAATTTTCTAAAATTGTATTTTTCATTCATTTGTCACAATGTATAATTGAGATTTTGGTCTCATTTTTTTTAAATTTGTAACTATGGACTGTTACAAATTCTATTAATGCCCTGGCTTGCTTGAGAGGGCGGGATCTAAGCAGCCAGCTCAACGTGGAGGTGAGTTACACCAGCTATTTTTTCCACAGAGCTTGATAGCTACATGCAGAGCATTCATAAAGTCTTCACTTTTCATGTTATGTTTCAGCCTCATGGTAAAATCAAAAATTCTACAATTTCCCCTCATCAATTTACACTCAACACCCATAATGACAAAGTGGAAACAGATTTTTAGACTTTTTTTTTCAAATTTATTAAAAAGTAAAATATGGCGAAATATCACATTGCCCTGTGTATTCAGATACTTGACTGTGACTCAGGTTCCTCCCTTTCTCTGGATCATCTCTGAGATGTTTCTGCACCTTGATTGGAGCCCACCTGTGGTAAACTCACAGCTGATTGGACATGATGTGGACAGACACACACCTGTCTATATAAGATCTCACAGCTGACGATGCAGATCCGAACAGAAACCATGAGGCTGAAGGAACTGCTGCAGAGCTCAGACAGGACAGTGTCAGGCTGACCAATCAGGTCTTCCTGCCCTCTCAAGCAAGCCACGGCATGAATAGAAATTAAAGTATTCAGATTTTTGAATTTCTATCCAACAGTCCTTAGATGGAATTTTCAAATTAAACATTGATCTGACAAATGAAAAATAGATACAAATTTAAAATTTTTCCTTGTTAATTTTAATATTTCAATATAATACGAACATATGATGAGTATTATATGGAGCCAATTTGAGTAGATATGTTTGTGTAGTATACTCATTCAAGACAAAGGTCACAACTTACACAGACAAAGGAACTCACTTCCCCACAGTTCCTCACTGTTCACACCTGGGGACAACCCGCCCCCAGGGACCTCACTTATCAGTCAGTGTTGGTCAGTGTGTGACATGTGACCCCCCAGGGTGTCACCAAACAAAAGTTGTCCTTCTTTGCTCTCTCTCCTCTTCTCAGCTTGCTCTGGAGAGCAGCTCCTGCTCTCTCCTCTCTGCTCTTCAAAGGGCAACAAGGCCCCAGCCCAGGTCAGCCCTGCTACCTGAGAAACTAGCTCTCTTACCGGCCTGCTCACAGCAGCCTGCAAACACTCTTCTCCTCAACAGCAGCACCCTGCTTTGGATTAACTGAGAGTGAACCAAGTTCTCTTCAGAATCAGCAGCTACAACAAAAGGCCAGCCAGCTGATTTTCCAAGCAACAGGAGTCACAGCAGCATTGTCTGTCTGACAGGTGACGCGAAAACTGTGCAGACTACTGATTGAGAGAACTGCCACTTACTGTGTCATCATTGTGCAAGACGGGCCATTCTGAACACACCCACACAATCTGGTGACAGTGGTGAGGTTGGTAGCAGCTGCTGATGGCAGGGAGGCTAGACCTCAGAGTACCAGCATCTCTCCTGCTGTTACAGCTGAAGAAAGCACAATGCCCCAATAATGTAGTAACAACTACAGATGGGCTTCACAGCTGCTGTGATCCCATCGCAAGATGATTTCTAGCATTATTATTGTTTGAATACATTCCTGTATGTCCCAAGTTCATCCTCAGTCATGTAAAAGTCTCTTAGAAAATCAGCTGCCTGCTCCATGTTTAACAGTTCTGCTTACTGTTGTGACCATGACTCTGTTGAATGAAACATAAGCTGCTTTTTGTCCTTTCTTATTTAGGAAAATTATTCTTTTAAACATTTATAAACAACCCAGTCACATCAGTACTGCCCTCTAGCTACAGTTTGTGTCGATCTGAGAAAACCCCTGAAGGTTTAACGACACTTTTTGCAGTTCTGAAGTATTTCCAGACCCATAGAAGACTTATGTTATATCTGTAAACAAAAAATATACTTGATAAATAACGATTTTGACCTATCTCCCCCTTGTTCATTTTGTACAACACTTTACAATGTAAAGTGTTGTCTTTACAATGTAAAGTGTTGTACATTTACATTTGTACAATGTACAAATGTAAATGTAAACACAATATAACATGAATATAGACATATTTAGTTGCTAATGAAACATTTATTTTATTTCACATCATATAAATTGAGTCATATCCAGCAGCCATCTTCATTTGGATAAGGAAAAAGAGTCGCAACATCTGTCTTTTTTAAAGAAAAAAAAGACAGATGTTGAGACTTGAATATACTGGTAAATACACATAAGGCTAGTTCTCTTGGAAAACAGGCTGGTTTACATCGCTTCCTGTTTGGAAGAGTTATTAAACCCAGTCTAGAGAATCAACACGTCACATAGGTATTGCCTTCAGTTTTAGAGAAGTAACGTTAAACCGTCACTTAATGTACTCACGGGTTCGTTGAGTTCAACTGTTGCACTCTTTCCTTCTCCGTCCGACACAGTGAACGTTTTTCCTGTTGGGTGAACCTAACAACGCATGGAATAACCACTTTATGTTACTGGCATCCACAGTGCAAGTCACCATGTTTACAAACACACTTTAATTTAAACTAGCTGCAAATCACACGAACCTTTTCCACACGCCCAACGAAGCAAACCGGTCTGTTAATGTGCTGTGACAGCATAGAGCAGTTTATTCTTGGTTTTGGGACGTCCATTATTCCTGCCATTTTACGAGTTGGAGTCGATGGCTTTACTGAGCTCGCATAATGCTGAATAGCGCGGGAAATACTTCGTTGTATACTTTTGTTTCACACGGTGGCCCGAGCGGGTGGAGTATCTAAAATGACGCCTAAACCCGCATTGTCTTGTAGTTACGGCAAACCCAGGAATTTAAATCGAACGCCCTCAGCTTTTACTATGACACATCCGTTGTGCTCTGACATTTTATTCCCCAGAAACATCAATGGATGGTTCCGACACATGTTTGCAATCTGCAGCGCAACCGACGGTGGCATTTATAGTTTCTACACGAGCACGGACCATATTGAGGTCAGTGACGTCACGTTATAACATAACAACATGGATGATCTTGCACGGAGGAAGACAAAAAAATAATTAGGTTATATTCAGTGGTTTATAGTAGGTTGGGGAAACTAAACCAACACTTGGTAGCTCACAAAGTGGAAACTAACCGAAGTAAACTAAACTTATTGGCAGTAAAAACCTTACGGAGCCATGAACTGACTTTACTCTGAACTTCTGGTCAAGACAAAGTAAGACACGGCGACAGTAAGACCGTCACTTTATCACTTCATCGCATAGTTTTCATCTTGCCTGCTCAAAGTAGACTCAATAAAAAGAATTTGTGGTGTCGTATCAACAAAAATAACAAATAGCTATAAGCTGTGCAGCGCTGTGGCGTGTGACATTGAGTAAACAGTGGATTTAGTAAACAGTTGCTAATATTGGTTCATTTGAAAATGAAATCGAAACCTAAGTGACCTGGCGATATGTATCAGGTAAACGTAATTCAGAATCAGTATTCAGAAGCTTAATGTTCAATTATTTATTTATTTATCTATTTATGTGTCTTTTTAGGAAGGCTCTTTTCCTGTAATGTAGCTCAAATGTAAAAATGCTTTCAAATTTGTTTTCTTTTTCTTTCTTTTTTTTTGTTAATGCTTTATTGTTCAAAATATTTTCCATATCAACTTATTAAAATAATTTAACATTGAAAATGGAGGAACTTCTGAAATAAGATACATATTAAAATATGAACAATACATACAAATTAAAAAAATACAATCAAAGGAAATAAATGCAGCATATAAATAAGGATGATGAAACGAATATAATAAACAAAAGTATTTCAAAAGGACTAAAGGACAAAAGAAAACTATATACATAGGGGTACCATGAAAGAAAACAAAGATATTAAAGGAAAATGTTTAAGGCTTTACAAGTTACTATTGTTTTTATTGCTTTACTGTTCTTAGTCCATGTAATCAATCAATATAATGTCCAATTATTATTTTGAATTGTTATATGTGTGGTTTCTTTTTAATCAGTTTGTATTGGCAGCTTCAGTATTTTCCATATGGAATAAAAAATATTCAAAACAAATAGTTTTTACAATCAATATCATTCTCATCATAGAAATATATCTAACCAAAACAATTTAATAGACAGGTACTCATAAAATAAATGACTCTCAGTTTTGCAATTGCAAAGTACATTTTCCATCAATATTGTCTCTTAACCTTGAAAGTACCTAGCTCACAGAATAAATTGAATGTATAATTTAAAATGGAACTTCTCTAATTTTGTTTATGACACAATTTTTTTTTATAATTACAAATGTTTTTCCATTAAATATTTTCAAGTGTAGAGTTCCAAAACAGTTTGGCAGGAGGAGCTTTTTGTCTGTGAAGCACACACCATCCAACATAATTATACTTTTAAGTTGTGAATTTTATTTGTTTTCAACTTTGTGAACAAACCTGTAAATGAAGTCGTAATTCAGTGAAATGATAATTTCTAATACTGGTTTCTAACAATTCAGTGTGACGAATTTAACACTGGCAGCTCACATGATCTAATGGCTGCTGGTCTAACCTTTAATTTCTTTTATTGACAGAGAAGAATCATGTTGAGTTTCCTTGGACTGCGTAAAGAAACAAAGAAGTCAACATCTGACAAGGAAGTTGATGGAGGCTTTGTTATCATCGGTGAGAAACACACGCTTATATGAACATGAACCTGACATTGTGGTGTTTGGAGTAACACCATATTTGGCTGTTTAAGTTGCCTATAATAGTAAATAAGCAGTGGTAGAGTGTGGTAGGAAACATTTTTAGTAAGTTTAGTAAGTTGGATGGTCGGTTTGATGTGTTGGTTTGATATTATCCATCGTTCCCTATAAGCAGGGCATTGTTAAACTGACAGAATTCGGAGTGGAGTTTGGTGTGATGTTCCCTTCATTCTGCCTTTAACGATATGTACTGTATTAGAAAGTGGTCAATCACGTCATGTTAGAGTCACTTCAAAGCTCATTAATGATACAAAGAGACATAGAATAGATATCAAAGAAGCACACCGCACACAACAAAGAACACACAACCAGTGCAAGACAAACTGTACACATGAAGAAAAAAAACAGTGACAGTGACATGAAGAAACAACATCAGTGCACAGAAAAAACAGTCAACAATAGTGCAAAACAGTAACCTTTAATATTATAATGAGAAAGACAGTAACAATAACAACATGGGGAAATGACACCACTAGTGCAAATAAACAACTGTACAGATAAATAACTGCCTGTACACATTTTGATAAAAATATGGCTGTATGACAGATAGTCCTAGTGCAATAAAAAACTATGTTACACATCTACAGTATAGTGTGCATATTGGCATGAGAGCTGTATGAGGTATACTGTATGAACATGGATAGATAGCAGCAAAGTCCAATAGCAGCAGGGTCAATGTGGAAGTAATGGAGTGAGTGTGTTTGCAGCAGAGGTGATCAGTGCGTGACCCAAGTCTGAGTGTGGGATGTGAAGTGATGAGACCGTGAAGGGAATCGTACTAAAACCCAGAAAAAGCCAGTAAGAGGATTTTAAGTCAAGATTTATTTGTCAAAACAATATTTTAAATCAGTTAATAATCGTAACACATGAGTTAAGGTAGCAGACATTACAACTCCTGGAATAAAATGTTGGCAGTTAGCCAACATTGCATGACACTGGAAAAGAATGTGTACATAAGGGGTTTTGTTTTGATATTTGCCCAGTAGAGGTGACAACTGTATATATATCCTGCTTCTCTGGTTTGTCTAAGCCATCTGTTTCTACCCAAAACCACAAACATCCACATGGAGCAAGGTAAATCCTTAATTAAACCAAATTTTACTTCACTCCCAGAGAAGTGCAGTATTATTTGCTGTTAATCCTTCTCATGGCTTTAACTGGAAGAGCTGGTGGAGCTGACACAGATGGTCAGGAGCTGCATGTTATTTTTGGCAGAAGAGAGCAAGTGTGGGTGCCAGTCTTTCTCTTTCAGACTGAGATAACCAACTGAGCTCACAGACATTGACTGTAAACCTGCTGCCTACCATCTATAAAAGACGGCCTCATACTGTAGGCAGCAAAGTGCTGGTGAATGGTTCATATACACTCAAACATGACGTCCCAGATACAGCTCCATCAAATCTGCTCACCTGAGGTTTAGAGTATGAGGGGAGAATGCATTTGTCCTTAACTGTAAAGTTTTCTTTCTCATTCATGAACCATCAGGTAGATTTCATCTGATCTGATGGTACCAGGCAGGACTGAATAACAGGTGCATGGCTCCTCACTGTATCAGACAGGCCAGACCAAGCTCAGGCTGTGGAGGTTCGAGCAGGGCGAGGCTGCCGGTCACCTCTGCCATGTAGTGTCCCTTCTCTTCAGTGTGTGTAGTTGTCCAGGCAGAGAGCAATCCTGTGTGAATGGCTTAAAAAATCTCCCATCTCCCAGCATCGCCATCACTGGGCTCAGAAGCATCACTTGTGGAATATTTATGGATCTTGAAGGTTTATAACACACACTGCAGCTCTCTCATGGTAGGATAATCCAAACATCTTTTCATGATGATAATCTTTTCTTTCTCTATTTTTTACAGTGTAGAACCTTTCATAAACAGGTTTACAAAATGCTGAACAAAGAGAGTGAATTAAAATAGCAATAAAATCAAAGCGATTAAAACACATTAAAAACAAATCAGGGGCTCACAGACAAGAATACAGGATAAATACAAAATAGGAGGTGGCAATAATTGCAGATTGAAATCTTTAATCTCTAATCTAATCTAAGATTTAGAAACATTAACAGAATCAGTCATTCTAATATGATATGGTAAATGTTCCAGAGTTTTAGGGGCTATGAATGCAAGTTCAGTTTGACAGACACTGTTGAAGCTAGTGATGATCACAGAATCATGAAGGATTGTATGCTTTCAAAAGTTTAGCCATGTACTCAGGCCTTTCCATGCAGTGCTTTATAGATGATGAAATCATTTTAAAATCAACTCTGAAGTATTGTTAGAAGTCTGGCAGCACAAGCTGGAGTGGATTAAGTCATGCCTGAGATATGTAAGTGAGTTATTGTTATAGTACTCTAACCAGGAAGTTACAATAGCATCGAAGCTGTTAAAAATTGCTGGATTTGCCCCTTTAACTGTATCGGCACCAAAATGTGATGCGTTCTTTCCTGGTCCATGCCGAGGTTCTCTACCAGGTTTGGTGCAAATCTGTTCAGTACTTTTTGCGTAAACAAACAGACATGGGTGAAAACATGTCCTCCTTAATGGAGGTAATTAATCAAGAAAATAATTGTACATATGGGCCATTAAGTTAAGTCTCTGTACTCCAGCACATTGGATCTGAAATAAACTGATTTTTACTTTTAATTTGAACTTAAACTTCACTGCTAACTGAATCAGGATGTGAACATCCCCAAACCCCAAGAACTCACTTTGACTTCAGATTCACTGCTTCATGTTGAAAAAACACATCTGCAACCACAATAAGAGTAAACATGGCCGACAACAGTGAGAAACATTATCTGAGCTGATGTTGGGTCAGATGACTGTGGATATGATCTAAAGGCACACAAAGACGGCCCTGAGGAAAACTCTCTTCTTCCAGTGACATCAGTGTGAATGATTTCATTCTGTGGACAAAGTCAGCTTGGCCCTGGAGAGGAAGAGGAGGATAACAGCAGTACCTTCTCACTTTCTCCTCCCATCAGCACTTCTATTCACTCAGTGTTTCAGCCACTTGACGAGCGATCTAATGATTTGGCGCAGTGACAGCAGCCTGCTGCCAGGCCCCTTGCATAACCTTAAAATAGGTAGGGACATGGACTAGTCCAGAGGGTTTTATGTCTATGTTCTGGCACATCTGTATCTTATTTTGTCAATGTTGTTACAAACAGTATAATCAGTCAATAGCTACAGTGTTGTTGTAACACACACTCACTGAGCACTTTATTAGGAACACTGTAGTGATACTGGGTCAAGCCTCGAAACTTTCCTCTGAGACTGTTCTACCACATCTCAAAGGTGTTCAACTGTGGTCATGAAGGATGAACATGATCAGCAACAATACTCACATTCAGACCATGATTGATTGGTATTAAGAAAATAACATTCCCCACACCATCACACCACCAACACCAGCCTGGACTGTTGACACCAGGCAGGTTGGTCCATGGATTCATCTTGTTGACTTTAATTCTGACTGACATCTGAATGAATTTGGATCCATCAGACCAGTGTTGGTCTGTCTGTGTCCACTGCAGCCTCAGGTTTCTGTTCTTGGCTGACAGGAGTGGAACATGGTCTTGCAGTGAATGTATTTGGCTTAATGTTGACAATGTACAGTTTACCACAGTTGTACTTAATCACAGGATAAAGCAAAATTATCCCAGTTGATTTAGAAGAGTCTGTCCTGATCTTAATTCTCTCTGAGTAAATCTTATGTATGTGTTAATGTTGCCAGTGTGGTGGATCAATCTGAATGTTGGTGCAATGCAGTTTGGGTAAAATGCCACCAAATATAGCTGTCTATTCAGAAAGGGGCTGTGGCAAAGAACATCCTATGCCTGAGACACTGACTGTCCACATCTGTCTACATATATCTAGTGTTGGTCATGGACACATATATGCAGGAAAAAACCTTGTCTGGAGAGACCTGGAATGACCAACATGTTGCTTCTCTCACCCCTTTGGCATTCTTTGGTATAAACTGACTGTTTAGTTAAACTGAATCCTGAAAGCTTGTAATATCACCTCCATATCTCTTTGGCAGTTGGAGCTGCCATTTTGTATTTTTAGTAAAATGTTTTATATCTGCTTTATTTGCTCTGCAGGAGAGACATTTGAAGAACAGAGGAGGAAGATGCAGAACATGAACATCGCACACCCGTCAACAAATGTCATAGTGCAGCCATCAAAGGTGAGCTCATGAAATGACATTTAAAGAAGAAAACAAAGTGTTTTCACCAGAGGAGAGGACCTGGAAAGGTTTTATTCCTCTACCAAGTGATTTGCCTTTGAGACCAGTAGCATGTCCTGCATGATTCATACAGAACTATCTCCAGTGCTGTGATGCTGTCACCATGGTTACTAATTACTGTCATGGCTTGGTTATGTTCAAGTTTAGGAAAAGATTGTGATTTGGGTTAAAATAAGTGCTTTTTCAATAAACGATATTTGTTGTCATGGTTACAACATAACAACATGGTTAACTTTGTCGAACGCTCATGGATAATAGAAACAACATAAACTGCTACTTTCACATGGGAATCGAACACCACTCTCCTGTGTCATATTCATCCATCCACCACAGCCTCCTCCTGACATGGACTTTGTCTCTTTATACTACGTCACTGCACTTTTCCCTTTGCTCCTGTCGTAATTACTACAACCACTAGATGTCGCCTAGAAACAAAACAACTATGGGTCATAATAACCTGCTGCACAGACGACCTGTGGGCTCGTTTTTTACAGGTCGGTCTCCAGTTACCATGAGTCCCACAGTTGGTGAGTGCCTCATAATATAAAGTTGACTTCGGTGAACCCATATGTTTATGTTCAGGAGTTTTTATATCATTCACATATTGGTTTGTGTCACTATTTTCACTTTTACTTAAAGTCAAGTCATCAATATTTTTATATTAACTACTGATCAAATGAAATTTTTTGCATCTTCATGCTTCCGTACTGTCAATAGTAACACATTTTTAGCTGTAACTCCAGAATTCATACGCTAATTCTGACACAGTTTAACACAATATGTGTTAAGTGAACATACAGCGTCAACATTTTTCTCAGTAAATATATTTCTAATGGGGCTATTGACATGAAATTGTCACCAGATGTCAGAAACAACCCAAGTAATCCACACATACAAAGAAATCAAAACACATATGTTCATAAATTAAGTAATGTGTAATAAAGTGGAATGACACAGGGAAAAAGTATTGAACACCCTTATTGAAATTTATTTAATACTTAGTAGGAAAGCCTTTGTTGGTAATGAAAGCCTCAAGACGCCTCCTTTATGGAGAAACTAGTGGCATGCATTGCTCAGGTGTGACTTTGGCCCATTCTTCCACACAAACTGTCTTCTAATCTTGAAGGTTCCCAGGGCCTCTTCTATCAACTCTGATCTTAAGTTCTTTCCATAGATTTTCAATTGGATTCAAGTCAGGTGATTGACTGGGCCAGTCTAGCAGCTTCATTTTCTTTCTCTGAAACCAATTGAGAGTTTCCTTGGCTGTGTGTTTGGGATCATTGTCTTGCTGAAATGTCCACCCTCGTTTCATCTTCAGCATCCTGGTAGATGGCAGCAGATTCTTATCAAGAATGTCTCGCTACATTTCTCCATTCATCCTTCCTTCAATAATATGAAGTCTGCCAGTACCATATGCTGTGAAACAGCCCCACACCATGATCTTCCCACATCCAAATTTCACTGTTGGTATAGTGCTTTTGGGGTGATGTGTAGTGCCATTTCTCCTCCAAACATGGTGTGTGCTATGACATCCAAAGAGTTCAATTTTGGTCTCAACTGACCAGACTATATTCTCCCAGTATTTCATATGCTTGTCCAAATGTTGTGCAGCAAACTTTATACGAGCTTCAACATGCTTTTTCTTCAGCTTCAGCTTTGGAGTCTTGTGCAGTGAGTGTGCAGAGAGGCCATGGCGGTTGAGTGCATTACTTATTGTTTTCTTTGAAACAACTGTACCTGCTAATTCCAGGGCTTTCTGAAGCTCTCTGCGAGTGGTCCTTGGCTCTTGGACAGCTCTTCTGATTATTCTTTTGACTCCTCTGTCAGAAATCTTGCGAGGAACACCTGGTCGTGGCTAGTTTATGGTGAAATGATGTTCTTTCCACTTCCGGATAATGGCCCCAATGGTGCTCAATGGAACATTCAGAAGTTTAGAAATACGTCTGTAATGCCATCAGTATGTTTTGCCACAATAAGGTTGCGTAGGTCTTGAGAGAGTTCTTTGCTTTTACCCATCATGAGATGCCATTTGTGTGACACCTTGGTAATGACAAAACCTTTTTATAGGCCATCATTTAGGCATAAACCAGCTGATATTAATTAGCACTGATATGGGGCAGGATTGCTTTCTAAATACTGACAGAGTTCTCAACATATTCAAACTGGGATTTTAATCTCAGCACTAACTTGTCTTGGATATGTAAACCTCTAACGTCGTTCTGTCACAGTGCCACAACAAATAAGAAGCCCTGCAGTGTCACAGAGTAACCAGTGTACTTTAAACAAAGCACTGTAAAAAGTAATTATCAATAAATAAATTAACCTGAGTCTCAAGAATGTCTAATTTCACAGTGAGAACAACAAAATAAATGTGTTTAATAGTAGGATCAACAAGAATGTACGTTGTTTGATCATATGAACTTGTCAGCATTGTTGTTTGTTGTCTGATTGTGTCAGCTCTGGAAGTGAAACAGTAACACTAATCTCATAGGGATGCACTCATCCAACGTTTGATATCAGGATAAAATATCCAATACCTCAGCTCTCTGCTCATACTGACCACCAGACCAGGACCACTGACATTCTTGTCTGGTACACTGTACACTGACATTAAATCTGTGTCTCCTTTTCCTCACAGTCATCCTACACAACTCCAGATCAACCCACTGACAGAGTGCTCCCTGCAGCTTTACCCACCATGGGGCCCGTACTGGGACCCTCAGCAGTGGAAGCTGCTTCAGCTCTCCCAGATGTCCTTAGGGATGTTCCCTTCACTTTGGCTCCTCATGTCCTTACCATGCAGGCTGGATTCCCCCTCATCCCTGATGTGCTGCTGTCCCGGGACATTAACTACAACCTGGCTAATTTTCAGTATGACTTCACTTTAGAGAACTCTGTGCTCCATAATGCCTAGTCTGTTTGAATTTCAATATCAGGACTGTTATTAGGAGTTCATACTGTGTGGAATTATGAACGAATAAAAACTCACTAAAATTACATTAAAAATCAAAAAGTTGTAGAACTGCAAAGCATTGAATTTATGAAATTAACTCCCTGTTCATTAAATTTCAAAGTAAATCTTTGGAAATGAACTGAAGGAAGCATGGAGATCTGACTCACTGTAGAACTGATGATGATGAAAAGCTCTAACTTTATTGCTTTGCAGGAACTGAATGGACTTGTGGTTGAGTTGGCTTGTGTGAACACAGTCAGGAAGTACAATGTGTTCCAATGATGTTGTGTAACTGTGAACAGGATAATTATGGTTTATTACAACCTGCGAACACTGCTGCACAGAGGTCAACAAGGTAAAACCAAAAATAAACACACCTGAAATGTTGGTGTTAACCTGTCATTGCCAGCAATTATAATAAATATGATAGGTCAAAGTAGCTTCTATAATGGGCAGTGTGGGTAATAATGTTACCATTCCCCTTTGTTTTTTAACTAACCTTTCAACTTTGTTTACACCTATCTGATCATCTGGTTTCCTTTTACTAGAATTCTGCTGCACCCGGAACCTGACAGGTCCAGACAAAGTAACAGGCTTTTAGCCTTCTAGCGGTGTAAAACTCTGGGCTTGGGTTGGGTTCATGTTTGGTTATCCTCAAAATGCTGCCCGTCGTCTATATCTGTGTGTCTATTGTAGCAACTAGACTCTCAGTGACCACAGGGAGGAGTGAGTGTACAGTTGTAGCTGTTAGCTTGGCTAACTAAGCATACGTAAATATAACTTCAGGTCTAAGTTTAGGTCTCAAATTTGGCAGTAGCAGTCAGGTTCAGATGATTTGGGTTGTGAAGACGTGTGTACAGGCTACAGCTGCTGTCTCTTGTCCCACCAGACTTTTAGCAATGCCTCCATTTTTCCAGATCTCCATGATTAACTTGGAGAGTACAGTGCTTTTATTACACATATAAACTGTATTGTGACTACAAAAATAACACCCATTTGTACTAAATTGGAATTATCCTTCACGGGAAGTTGATATTTTATTGCATATGGTTCCATAGTCCTTGTGTCAGCTGTCTATTATTTATAATAGGGTGTCATTAAATTCACTATGAGAACTTCATTTTAGCTCATTTGAGGATATGTTACCAGGATGATGAATCAATAGCTTTATTCAAAGCTTAGTACTTGGACAAGGAATCACACAGACAACAAGACCAGGTCAAAACCTGGTACATGTCTGGACTGTGTGTGGTCGATGTGAGGAACTGAGGACGTAGGTGAAAACCACTGTAAACAACTACTGTCAATGGAACGTGGGTACATTTTGCTAGATGATGTAATACACTAATTAGCACATTCATGACATCATTGCGTCGTATGTGCATTCAGCCTAGAGTCAGCTGGTTACTGTGATCACATATACAGTGTTTTAACATGGCCCACTAAGACTACATGTTAACCAGCAGTCACTTCCAAGCTGCTGCTAAAGTCCTGATTTAATAAACACAATGTCATCTGACAACATCACCAAACATCACTTAAAGACAAAGACTGAGCTGTGATTTCAGCTAGATTTACTGTAACATGATCAGTTAGAAGAGACACAATATCTTTTTTATTTAGTCTCACACAGAGTACAGCCTTCGTTGGGGTAACAAACTGCTGCTGCTCCTCCTCTCTGAGACTCACTGAACAGAGAGGGCAGAACTTCAGACTCTCTTCTCTGGAAAGTTTCTAGGTTTGCTGCTAGGTGTTTTTTATTTAAGTCACTAAATCCGTCTGAAAATGAAAACTGTTGTGGCTCTGCTGTAAATACCTCCTAATGACATCAAAGAAAATGTTTGCTTTATAGAAAAGAGCAACAGCCAATGGGAAAAGCCCAACACTCAGCGGACCAATAGTGTAACTTAATCACAAACTCAACTCTATCACTCACTTACTTAGTCATGGATATTTGGGGGTGTAACAAAAATGCTGACCTTCTTCACTAGAATCACAGCATAGAAAGTCTCATCTGTTTATGTAGGAGCTGCAACATGAGGAGACTGTTTGAATGATAAAGTGAAAATGTGCAGTAAAAATTATTTTACTAACTACAGCTCTTATATGATGTCATTTATATGTTTGACTATATGCAGGAACAACACTTCTAACAAAAATTGTTTTTTTAAATATTTTACAGCTGTTCTTCCCCACAAATGTCCGCCATGCTTTTATTTTGCTTCCTAAATCGGCCTTCCTTTTGATCCAGCCTGTTTTTCTGCCATTATTAACTAATTTTACAATTTATTCTGTCTGTGTTTTCCATTGGTCTTTGCTTCTCCTGTGTATGGAACACACTTTTCCTTTCAATGCAGTCAATTATACATAGATCAGTTCTGACTTGGCTCAGTACACAGTTTGTGCACTTTTTAGTTCTACATACATTGTTTCAAGTTATGACAGCATGTACTGTACATAGGGTATACCTGCTGTGTCACCACTTGTTACATTTTTAAACACTGAATGTTGTGAACTGTATGAAACGTATCTCTTTTAATTGATGCTGAATAGTGATGTGGTACTCCACATAACAGGAAGTCACTAGAACAGCCTGATGTAATACATTAACTCTTTAGGCTTGAGAGCTGAGAGCTGTCATAGTCCAGGTGTTACTCAGTGTTTTTTTCTCAGGCATTGTTAGTGCCCAGCCTTGGTTTGTTTTTGCTGCAGCCTCAGCCAATATTTGAATATCAGCTTTTATTTGAGAATTGATGTACTTGCATAAATCTTAGTTGTCTCTTGTGCTTTGTTGTTGGTTAACTCAAAATATATAGGGGATTTCACTTCACCTTTCATTCATCTGTAGTTTTAAAATTGATGTGTTCATCCGGGTTTGATCATTTTCTCAATAGATTACATGAAGTTGGCTGGATTGATGTCTTTAATTTATTTTGATAATTACGAGTTTCCATGAATTTACCCAGTAATACTGTATTTGTACCGCTGATCAAATATGGTCTCTTCAAACCTGTTGTGCCTTTAACATGCAGTCCATACAGAGGCATACACTTCAAGGGGGGATATGTCTCCCTCAATATTTAGAACACGTGCAATTGCCCCCACCCCTCCCACATTAAAACAGTTAGAACGTTACTCATTGATGCTACAATTCTTCTGTCTTTTTTCTTTAGCATTGAAGTTTTTTTTTTTATTCCCAAAACATGAAAATGAATTATCCACACACCCACAGTGATGTGATCTCAATCAGTAGCACTGTGCACACACAGGCAGGTTGATAGCCATGGAGGAGCAGGAGGGGAAAAGAAGGAGCAGGTCTGATATTAGAACATTTTATCTCAAAAACTCTCAAAACCAAGTGAGTTTTGAGCCTCTAGGTGCTGTTTTTAGTTTACTTTAAGGGTGTTCTTTGATAGTTTGCTAACTAATCTTGAGGTAATATTACCTGCCCATAAAAGCTTGCTAGCTAGTGGAGTTAGCAGCAGACAAGCTAATGTCCAAAGAGTCAGAAGAACAGAAGCATGTGATTTGCTGACAGCGTGAATCAGAGTGCCTTACTGCATTACATTCCATTACATTTTGAATTGTCACCTGGAGCCTGAAATGTGTCCTCCCTTACATAAATAAAGTGATATTCACCATAAATTGAGGCTGAAAAGCCACAAATTGGTGAATAAAATTCATCAGAATCCAGCAAATGGAAAATTTCCAGAAACCTGTTTTCTGAGTTTAAGTATCTGTTGATGCAGGTATTGTGTTCTCTTGGTCGTGACCATGGACTATGGACTCAATTCACAAAATTACATTTTGACTAGTCAAAATGACAGTTAGAGATATCTGTAATTCAGTTTTGACTAGCCAAAATTGAATTACAGATATTTTCAATGACGTCACTGAAAAAAACATTCGACTCGTCACACATCTATAATGACAATTGCAGATATCTGCAATTCAGTTTTAACTAGGCAGAATTAAAGTTATTGTGATATCGCAAATGACATTTTGACTCTTCAGAATTGTTGTGCATGACGTTGCTCATGCAAAGCTTCCAGTTGGATACTGGCCTAGCAAACAAATCATTTGAACAGTGTTAGCAGAAGAAATGGCATTTGCTGTTGTGGATAAAATATGTAGAAAATGCCATGAAATAGAACGAGCTCATAACCAAGGAATTTGTGGGGAACGAGAGCTTCGTTCACTAGAAATTTAAGTTGTGTTGAACATTCATTGTCTCCAGACACGATTGCAAGTTGTTCCCGCCTACGGCAAGCCCTTCCTCCTACTTGCCATAACTTCTGACATAATTACAGATATCTGTAATATCAATTGGTCTAGTCATTACTCTATACTTCAAGATATCTTTAATTACATTTTATCTAGGCAGAATGAAAGTTAAAGATATCTCCAATTTGAGATATTTATAATCAAAATTCAGTTCAAGATATCTATAACTTGATAATAGATATCTACAATTAAAATTATTATTATCCATAATTCCAGTTTGAGATATCTACAATTTAAATCTGATTAGTCAAAATTCATTTCAAGATATCTATAACATCGTTTTGACTAGTTAAAACATAATTTAAGATAACTAAAAAGGACAATATAGATATCTTTAGTCATAATTTAGTTGCAGATATCCACATTTGACATTGTGGCTATCTACAATTGAATTAAAAGATATCTGTAATGAGAAACCCCATACACATGAATGTGAAATGTGACGTCATTTACCTAGGAAGAAAGAAGTTTTGGATATCTGAAATGACCATTGTGGATAGGAAGAATGTCATTGTGGATATCTGAAATGTTCATTTTGACTAGGAAGAATTGAATTACGGATATTGTAATGCATATCCAGACTAGCCATTAAATGTTAAAACGGCTTGTTATATACATCCTTTAACAACCCATTGAATTACCCAGGAAGTAGTCCAGGACCAATCAGAAAGTACTCATGGTGATTTGGTCCCACCCAGATTCCAACCTCCTCTGTCAGTAGTTAGGACTGACAGCTGCTGTCCTGGAAACTGAGGTAGAGGGGTCCGGAGTAGCGATATAGTGAACAACCAGTTTGACTAAGTACCGCGATAATAACAATGTTGGGGCAGAAAGTTAATTAACTTCACAGATGTGTTTTTTTTTGTTCATACTCAGCGGAGGAAACAGAAGTGTTACCTTTATAGTTGTCGTCGCTAGTAGCAGAAATGTAACGTTAACACTGTTTGGAGCGGACGTCGTAAATGAACTTAAAGAACTTTGGTAACTGATCCTGCAAAGTTTGTTCAAAATGAATAACGTGTAGCGTATACTGAAAAACAACGCCGTAAAGTTCGGTTGTGGTATATTCAACAGGACGTTTTATTCTACTTCTCATGTTTTCACATAAACAACTTCATCAAGTGACGGTGGCAGATCATGTCAGCATCAACAGCAGCAGCCAGCGGGTTAAACACAGCCGCTCCCCTTCAGCCTCCTGCGCTTCTTGTGGCAACACCACCACGGTCCGGTTGCAGCCTATCCGCGCCACGGTGCAGTACCAGCTTTTGCGTGGAAATCAACACAGCCCAACCCGCTCCGTTTCCTCCTCCTCCTCAGTAGCCGGGAGCAACACAGGACCGACGAAGTCCCGTTGCTCCAGTTCCGCCAACCCGAGTGCAAGCGGTACGGACGGTAGACTGGTCCCCGGGCGGAGACCTTCACCGCCGGACAGCAACAGCCCACTGAACGCTTTCCCTACGCGCCTGTTTCCAAAGGTAATAAAACCCTTTTAAGTGGTTGAAGTTTATCTCTACTGTACCCATCATCGTTCAGATAGCTTGGTGCTATGCTAAGTGCCGTTCCTGCCTCGTATGTTGCGACCGTCACACCAAACTAGCTTAAAAACCTGGTAAATGAATGGTTTCGGGGATGAATGAAGGAGATGCATGTATTTAGAAATGGGAACCAATAATTTCCAACAGTTACATGCTATTCTTCTATTCGGCTTGGAGAATGGTCGACCATCCAACATTGAACTTAAATAAAATCTCAACTTTATTCACTGTTCCCACCATTGGCCATCAAGCGTCACGTTGTGTTTTGGTGCGAGAAGCAAGTGCAAATAAGAGTCGAAGCAGCAAAAAATATAACGTTTTTTCTCAAACGAACACATTTTTGTATATAAGATGTAAACCGAATTGTAAAGCGGACTGTTATCATTCAGACAAAGGCGAAGATGATATTTTAAACCGTATCTAACTTCCACTGTAAGCCAGACGACCAAATATTGTCAACTTTTCCAATGCTAATTCAACTTAGCAAACCGTTATCTCTGTAGCTTCGCTTGTGCTGCCCATATCGGGGCATATGCACATGCTAGGCTAGTTGTCTAGCTTTCTAATTGGGTTAGAATACTCCGGATTTGATGTTTGACGCGTAAATCATAGAGAAGGTAAATATAATCGCTATATTTTCACGATAGGTCCCGCAGCCACCGATTCAATTTCAATCATAATAACAGTAATAATTTTAACGCTCCACATTTTGAGCTGGTATAGTGTGTTATTCGGGTGTTATGATGGCGTTTTGAACGTAATCATTTGATATTAGCTAAAACGATTGTTATTCCATTACATTGGCATTACCCTTGCTGAGGTAAATACGTTAGGATATGGATGCCTGTGTAGTGATGATACAGCTTCTCTGTCGAAGATTAAAAGGGCTCACTGATCTACACGATACGGATGATTAGCCAAATTTTCAGAAAATGCTGTGAACACTGAAAGCTTGCTATTAATTCGTCACTTTGAGGTTGTTTACCGTCATTGAAAGGGAAAAAATACATTGTCAGCCAGTAGGTCTATGGCTCCTATGGCAACACTGGGGCCTAGCAGTCTGTGAGATATAAACAGAGCCCTCTGGGCAAGCAGACCAGCCTCTGCAACTACATACATAAAAAATACTATTTGGCAAAAATGAACAAATGAGAATATACATCTGTCTACAGAGAACAATATAATGTCCTTGCAAATACATGAATTACTTTGGTGTTTTTGTAGTTAAGCCAATGTGCAGCTTGAGTCATGGCTATGACATGGTCTCTATATTTGTGTGAAGAGCCGTAATGTTTTCTTTTCTGGACTAAGATATTACAGACTATTATACTGTCACTGAGAACTTTATTAGAAACACCTGAACAACCGGTCGTTCATGTAATTATCCAATCAGCCAATCATGTGGCAGCAGTGTATGAACTCCTGCAGATCTAGGTGAGGAGCTTCAGTTAATGAGGAAAACTGTGACTCAGTGACTTTGACTGTGACATGATTGTTGGTGTCAGACGCTGGTCTGAGTGTTTCTCAAACTGCTGATCTCCTGGATTTTCCCCCTCAACAGTCTCTAGAGTTTTTACTCAGAAAGGAGCAACAACAAAAGCATCCAGTGAGCAGCAGCTCTGTGTTGATGTCAGAGGTCAGAGGAGAATGGACAGACTGGTGACAAGCTGACAAAAAGGCTACGGTCACTCAGATAACCACTCTTTACAACTGTGCTGAGCAGAGAAGCTTCAGAGTGAACAGCACATCCAACCTTCAACAGCAGAGACCACGTCAGGTTCCACTTCCTGTCACCCAGACCAGAAACTTGAGGCTGCAGTGGACACAGACTCACCAACACTGGACAGTTGAAGACCTGGTCTGATGGATCTGGATTTGTGCTGAGGCAGCAGATGGCAGGGTCAGAATCTGAATCCAAGGACCAACCTGCCTTGTGTCAACTATGGATGGTAATCAAGAACCGGTTCCAGTTGTGATCTGGTTCCAAATGGTGCAAACCATCAGAATCATATGACCATGAGCTTATCAATTTCTTTATTGATGCCGGTATGTTTTTTTTTTTAGAGCTGGGTGGCCCTATGTGCTCACTTGCATAGGGCTCCGCAAGGCCCCGTCTCCCTCTCATGTCAAAGTGGTTCACAGTGTTAACAAATTTGATGAGCAGAACTACCTTTTGGTAACTAAATAGCAGGACAGGGGAGTGAATTGTGGGAACACAAATCTCGGTCAAGGTTTTGTTACAACTCTCGATTAATACATGATGGAAAGCAACTGTTTCTCACTCTGCGTTCTTCTCTGTACTTGTGTTCTTGTGGACTTGTGAAATGTTCCAATTCAGAACAGTACCTGGGCTGAATACATGTCATACGAATGAATACGTAGTCAGTTTATCCAAATAATGCCTGTTTGGGAATTTGCATCGGTGTTTTGGGAGATGTGAGGACCATCCTGTTGGATGAGGTCATATGAGGAGCTCGCTGTCCGCCATCATCCTGGTAGGAAAACAGTTATATCTGCAAGCCCTTTGGCAATTTACCACGGGCTCTGTTGTCTGTGGTGTTTTGATATATGATGAAATTCCTTATGGAAGATGAAATTTGGGTCTGAGTTGAAATAAAATATTTGTTGTTGACAGTTAGATGAAGATGAAGATGAAGCTGAAGAAAGACATGATATGTTGAACAGTTTAACAACAGCACAGCCTCTGTGGGCTTCATACCACCACTTTTTAATAAAAAATAAATGTACATGAATGTCCATATTAATTTTTTTTTAGATTTTTCATATACATTACAGATTGGTTATGAATTGTATCTTTTACTACACTCACTGTCAATTATGTGTTTTTCCTGAATGTCAGTTTGTGGAGCTATTAGTTGAGACAGTTCAGTTGGGTACAGTCACATACAGTTGGGTACAGTCACATACAGTTAGGTTCAGCCAGGTACAGTCGGGTTCAGTCGGGTACAGTCGGGTTAGTGAGGTACAGTAAGGTTCACTCGGGTTCAGTCAGGTACAGTGAGGTTCAGTCAGGTACAGTCAGGTACAATCGGGTACAGTTGAGTTCAGTCGGGTTCAGTCGGGTTCACTCAGGTACAGTGAGGTTCAGTCGGGTTCAGTCAGGTTCAGTCGGGTACAGGTGTGTTGAAATGTGATCCCCAGTGCTGAGCTGAGCTGCTGATATGAGGAACAATGTTGCTGTTCCAGTTGTAAATAGTCCTCCTGTCCCCAGGAGTCTGGACCTCTGAGTTGAACTAGTTCAAACTCCCAAGTCTGAACTTGGTGTACTCTGTATTGAGAAACAGCCACTGACTATTGATTAAATACTGAATTTAAAATGTTGATGCTGGGAAATATAGATGCACATCTTTCAGTAAATAATAGCACCAAATATTTAGCCAAGCTGTAGTGTAAATAGTATTTTATATTTGAAAATGTTTGAAAGGAAATCTGGGGGAGCCATAGCAGGTATAGCAGCCATAGCCTATAGGCTTATGTTTACATTGTATAGCCAAAGCCAGAGTTATACCATTGTTATATTTCATTATTTTGTACATTTTATATTTTCAATTTTTTTTATTTGTTATAGTTATGCATAATATTCACATAAGAAAATATTCTATTCAAAAACTACTGTTTGGTTGTACCTTGTTCTGTTGTGTATAGGTCAGTTTATTCTTAGAACGACAGATGGAGCAAACTGTAAATCAGGAATCTTTAAGGGAACTGATACAGAATTGGACTGATAAGCAGAATCGATAATGACATTGCTATTCATAAAATTTTATCAATACCCAACCATAGAGTCAACAGTCCAGGCTGGTGGTGGTGGTGTGATGGTGTGGGGAATGCTTTCTTCTTAATACCAATCAATCATGGTCTGAACGTCTCAATCTATCTGAGTATTGTTGCTGAACATGTTCATCCTTCATGACCACAGTTCACCATCTTCTAATGGCTCCTTCCAGCAGGATAATGCTCCATGTCACAAACTGGTTTCATCAACATGACAGTGAGTTCAGTGAACTTCAGTGACCCCCTCCAGTCTGAAGACCTGAATCCAGTAGAACACATTTGGGATGTGGTAGAACAGGAGATTGGCAGCTTGAATGTACAGCTGACAGATCAGCAGAAATGATGTGATGCATCATGTCAACATGGAGCACAGTCGTAGAGGAAAGTTTCAACATCTGGTGGAGCCATGACATGAAGAACTGAGGAACTACCCAGTTAGTGTGCTGTTTCTAATAAAGTGCTCAGTGAGTTTATTCACTTGACTTTGCATCTCTCCACTCTTGGATATCCTTGCTGGTAGCAGTGGTGTATGCAGGGCATTTTGATTGGGGTGGCTGAAGTATGGCACTGAGTGTGGCATCAGACCTCTGCCAACAGTTAATAAACAGACACAGATATGAATCTTTCACGATCTTTACTGAAAAATTCCTGTGTCAACCAGACGAAAGGCTGCTATTGCCATTACTTCCTCATTTTTTCCTCATTGTCATACTGTCTGTGGACATTTTAGTGTATGGTGATATTTTCCTTGCAGTTAGTACCTTAAGGTATTTTAAACACCTTTCAGCCAAAGCTTGGAGAATTAATATTTTTATATTTACAATGAATCAAATTTAGTGTGTGTGATGTGAAACATGTCATTTGTAGTGATGAACCCACAGAGAATTATCACCAGTGCTGCAGTTTCCCTCACCTCCAAACATGTAGACTAAAACAGGATTTAAGGAACAGAGGAAGATTGTGCCAAGTTTTAATGGCCACAGCAGGTGATTGTGATTTCACTAATCAGGGATCGTACCTGCTGTCTTTCGTCTGTGGAATAATGACCTGGATTTACTTGGCACTCTTGGCCCTGGTACATGGCAAGGGATATAAACAAATACATGCACATTATTCTGATATGAGAAAATAGTGCACTCTGAACA